CTGAATGGAAGCAGGGCATAGAGGATCCAGAAGGTACTTAGAGAGTAAGGAAGGGGACACACATCTTGGTCAATAGCGTGCTATTCTAGTCATTATACTTCCAGATTTTCCTGTCCAAACAGGAAAATCCAGGTGGCGAATGATCAATATCAGTAATGTATGGATCCCTTTTATTATTGTCAAATAAAATAATATTTCCAAGTACTCATTGCGTGTATATTATTTCTGCCTATAAGAAATATGCATGTGTTTGCCGGTAATATATGAGGAACTAAGGAGGTAAGAAATACCACTTCTACTTCTCCAAGAAAATGGGGAAAAGTTACAAGTATACATATTCCACTGAGGACTGGACCCCAGCGGTGCCTAGCCAAATTGCTATATCTCTTTAATAAAAGGTTGGAGAATTATGATATTAATGTGCAGTTGGCATAACTAAGAGACCCAAGCCTATGTATACAGAAGTTGCACATTTCCAGTAAAACCAGAAAATAAACGCAGAAGCCAGATCTTAAAGAAATGGATTCTTTACTGGAATATTTACAAGCATACAATAAAAACAGAAGCACACATACACTTATTCAGACCTAGGAGAATTAGAGAGAAAGGGACAGCTTCGCATTAGCAGGTAACAACGTTGATTGGCAGGCAGGCAGGTGGGGGGGGGGAGAGAGCGAGAGCGCACATGGTCCTGCTCTTTTATACTATATTTGAACTTGGAGGTGGGCTTCTTATCAGTCACTTCCCCTCATGTCCCCAGGAAGTTGCTAAAAAAAACTGGTTGCAGATGGTCATGTGATGACCAGCATAAGGGGTTTAATGGTTGGGCAATTGACATAATGTTTCTCTAGAGTGACACCTTTCAGAGAGGTCATTCCCAGTGCTTGGCTAGCTTTAACAATCCGATGCTCAACAGCAGCATTGTCTTGATGGGTGCAGGGTGGGTGAGTGAGCTAATCCTGTCACAACTTGGAGCTATGTGCAGTATAGAGTGAAGCTGGAGGTGGGGAGGAAGTGCCTGCATGATGGAGAAGTGGCTTGTCATGGTGTTTTAACAGGAAAGTTTATGTTGTCTTTCCAAAGTATGACTTCTCTATTACTCTGGCTGCTGGTTCCCAGTGTCTGCGATTCTCAGGGAGGCTGGCATGCCACCTACCTGGGTTTGCAGTCATCTTTAGGGAGGCAGGGATGGATAGCATCGGGTCTTCCATGGGTCCACATCTGGTTTTAACATGCTGTTTCAGTCCAAGGCTTTCCTCAGCTGGGCATGTGTCTTCTTTGCGTGGTTCTGTCTCATGGGCACCAATCAGTCCATTTTCCCTGGCACACTCTTTGCACAGTCCAGATATAGTTATATCACAAGTCCATACTTTATAAAAAGCTTGCAAGGTAACACCCAGAGGTACATACAGGTTATTTGAGGAGAGATAAAGCAGAGTGCATTTGTTACGTGTTTGAGACAAGACCTTAGTCTCAAAATTATTATATGATTCATTGGACAGCCTGGACTCTGCCTTGATTATTCTTTATTATTATTATTATTTTTGTTACAATGTTTATGCCCCACACTGTCAATAAAAATACTGTGGAGGAAACTTATTACTATGAATTTTGTACTGAGTTTTAAATTGTATTGCATGTATGAATGTTTGAGTTTATTAATAAAGTTTTTTTTTTAAGGATTGTATTTCAAAAGCAGTATTGTACAGTTTGGTGTAGTGGTTAGGAGCGCAGACTCTAATCTGGGAGAACTGGGTTTGATTCCCCACTTCTCCACATGCAGATGCTGGTGTGACCTTGGGTCAGTCACAAGTTCTTTCAGAGCTGTTCTCTCAAGGGCAGTCCTCGAGAGAGCTCTCAGCCCCACCTACCTCACAGTGTGTCTGTTGTGGTGAGGGGAAGGGAAAAGGATTGTAAACTGCTTGAGACTCCTTCGGGTTATGAAGGTATAAATCCAATCTCTTCTTCTTCATCATCATTTACAACCCAGTTCTGTGCATGTTATGATGAAATCAGAGGGCTTACTGCCAAATAAAGGTGCTTAGGTTTATAGTTATGCAGCCCAGTCCTATGCATACTGACTTAGATGCACTGAGTTTCTTGGGGCTTACTTCCCAAGAAAGTATGCATACAACCATAGTGTTTTAATCATGGAATAGTTCTGAAAATCATCTAGTACTGAGTACTGATTTGATGCAAAAAGAAATGGGTGAGGCCTTGCTAGTTCCTGTGGTTTTTAAAACATTTAGTGGGAAGATTTGTACGTGACTGACGTTTCCAAGAATGGAACAGCTACACTGGGATATGCAGTTGAGTTTAAGGCTTATATCCAAAATGTTCTGATATCGAACAAGACACGTTCATCTGAGGTTTTGATTTGATCCCATGCTGGATGTGCCAGGGCTTGGGTTTGTTTTATGTGAAACAGAATTAGTAACTAGGATAGATTATTTGAGATTGCTGATATGAGTCTAAATGCCAAGAACATCCTGAGTGTCTCGATGGGTACATCCGAGGTCACAGAAGAGAGAACGCCTTGTGCCTATACAGATAGCAAGCAGCCACACCACTGCCTACTCCCAACCACTGAGCTTAGTGGGGAAGCCTTCCAGACCAGGGACTTATGACTTCTGAGCGCCTATCAGCCCCCAGTGCTTTTCCCGTACCAGAAGTTGAGGGCCGAATTATTGTAAAGACAAAGAATGCAGCGATTGCATAGACCTTTATACTTTGAAAGTGCTAAAGTACCGGAAAACATTTTTTTTGTCCTATATAGCCAGTATCAGAAACAGTCGAAATAGTTGTAGTGGTGACCACCTTTCCTTGATTTCCAGAAACGGCAAGGCGAGTCGGGTGGGGGAAATTCCAGGACAAAGACAGGCGAATGAATGGAGAGGGCTGCTTTTTAAAAAACGCGTCTTCGTGCCTCGTCGTTCCAAGCGAGCTGAGGCACGTCCCAATCCCAGACTCCAGTCGCTCCCTGCACGTCCGGCACTGCCCGGGAGCTTTTCCGTGCTCTTCGTTGGATCTCGCGTGTTCCCAGCCAGTGTCCCTAAGGGATGGCTGGGGGAGGCGGCGGCGGCGGCGGCACGAGAGGAAGGGAGGGGAGCAGGCCGGGGGACGCGCCGCGCTCGCTCCCATTGGTACGTGTGCACGCTCCCGTGCGGCATGTCCTCTGTAGTAGTATCCGGCGGCGTGGTGGGAGGGAACGTGGCGTTTCCCGCGTGGAGCCCCGGCAGGGCCACAGGCAGCGTGCGGCTCTGCTGCGCTGAGAGGGAATGCCTCGTGGCTGGGAGAGCGCGCGGATCCGCCTGCAAATGGCCACCGGTTGGGAAGCCGAACCACCCCCGCCGGCCAAGCTCAGTGGAGACTCAGTAGAAAGCATGAGGCGGATTTTCATCAGTCACCCCGAGAGCCGCGAGGAGGATGGCCAGGGCGGCCGAGAGGAGCGGCCCGAGGGCCCGGCAGCGACGGGCTCCCTGGGAGTCCTCCCATGCCGCAGGAACTCAGGGGAGGCCCGGCCCGTCGTGGGCGCCTTTCCCCCCAGCCCTCCGCCGCCTAAGAAAGCGCCTCACAGAGAGCACCGCAGAGATGCTCAGAGATGCTTACACTACATAGTGCCTTGCATGAACGCGTATGGCTTGTGCATAGTCGACCACTTCCTGGGCTACAGGATGGCCGAGAAAATCTTGCAAGAGGTCCTGGCTTTGCACCTGAGTGACAAATTCCAGGACGGAGCCTTGGCGAGTCAGAAGCCGGGCAGCAGCAAAGCTATTCGCGGGGACAAGATTTTGTGGGTAGAGGGCAGTGAGCCGGGCTGTGAAAACATAGGCTACCTCCTGAAAAGAATGGATAAACTCATCATGTATGCAGATGGGAAGCTGGGGCATTACAAAATTAGAGGAAGACATAAGGTTAGTAGCTTCAGTTGGCGGGGCCTGGCGGCAAAGTTCTCTCTGGCTTTCCCAAAGTTTCTCATCACTTTGCCTACAGTTTCTGGGCATTCTTGTTGCATTACTGTTCAGTCTCTTTCATTCTCTTCCCCCGCTCGCTCCCGTTTTTTTAAATGCCTAGACCTCGTTTAATCATTTTAAGGGTATTGACGGAGGTGTAGGTAACGTGGTTTCAGGTTTGTAAACGGGAAAGAAATGGTTAATCGCTCAACACTAAAGCGAACTCAGTGCTTTTTGATGCTGTCTCCCCCCCCTCTCCAGCGCACCCCGAGAGTTAAACTAAAAATTATCACGTGCGTAATTTCTGGAGTAGTCCTGAAATAGTGGGGGGGGTTTTAAAAAAATAATTTATGCTAAGGTTTATGTTTTTATGTTGAAACCTTTCCTTACTCTTTCGGGATGAGACGGTATTTTCTGCCTTTTAAAGGCAGTTCAAATAAGCCTTGCAATTAGACGGATTGTTTTAAGTGCAGCCTTTGCGATGGGAACGTTTCCTTTCAGAGCACGGGCACTTGGGACGGATTATGCTGTTTGCGAAGCAATTTCCAGCCATCTAATGATGATTTGTCTGCAAAAGGTGTGGAGAAGGACGTCTTACGAAAAGAGACGATGATAAAGTAGTTGTAAACTCTCGGAGGAATTAAGTTGCCAAGAGAAACTCCTCTGGCACTCGCTTATACCCTGCTTCCCCCACCGTTTGTTTACATTGGCTTGTAGTATGTGACCCTAGTAGAAAGCGTACATGCTGCGGGAGAATTCCTCAATGGCGGAGGCCACGCCCCCTCCAGGCGTGGGCGTTGCCTGGGCGACAATAAGTCACGCCTCTTCCAGACACGCGGCTTCCCCCCCCCCTCCCCGATTGCAGCCGTGAACCCTGTAGAGGGCTGAAGCGGGCTACGCCCCGTCGGCCTCTTGATTGGCTGGATTCATGTTCCACAGATCTGAGGGTAGGCGCGGGGAAAGATTGGCCCTGGGTCGGGGCTCCACCCACGTGCCCGCTCGCCGCCGAAGTAAGAACACATTTTGCACGTAGCAGACGTATTAATCAGAAAGGGGCCATCTGCCGCCTTGGTAAATAAATGGAAAGCAGTTTGCCGGACCCAGCTTCCCAAAAGGGGGAGTGAATCACAAACCGGGGGGGTGTTCACTTAAAACGCTGATCTCCCGCAAAGCAGAGAGAAAAGGGCTCCGGACGCTTCCTTTTTGAGCTGCTGTCTGTCTGTGCCAAGCCAAGGTGTTTCTCTTAAGCAGTGAGTGGAGGTCAGGGCGAGGTAGGAGCGCACCCACCATTCATGTCATTATCAAGTCTTTGAGAGGAGCCCAGAAGCTTATTTGCAGCTGCATGGAAGACAAACTTATTACTTGGCAGAACTTCGGGACGCATCAAACTCTTCTGCTATCCGGTCATAGTTTTGGTTCTTTTTTTCCACCTTCAGACATACATTTTTAAAAAATCAATTAGTTTAAAATGGGGGGTGTATGGTTAATCCAGTTTGACAGAATTATTGATTAATTCATTTTCTCACAGTTATTGGTAATTTGTTGGTTAACTGTTTGATTGGGCTGTTGACTTCATAGAAAAAAGGTGGGGGTTACTAGCCTTGCTAAAATGCCTTTGGGACATATTATGAGATTAGATCTTGAGAAAATAGCCCTGGACTACATTGTGCCCTGTTTGCACAACATCGGCTTCTGCTACCTGGACAATTTTTTGGGCGAGTTAGTAGGGGACTGTGTCCTGGAGCGAGTAAAGCAGATGCATTATGATGGAGAACTTCAGGATGGTCAACTTGCTGGCCAAAGCAACGGCATCTCCAAACGACACTTGAGGGGAGACCAGATAAAGTGGATCACAGGCACTGAGGAAGGATGCGAGGCCATCAACTTTCTCCTGTCGCTGACAGACAGGCTGGTGATGTACTGTGGCAGTAGACTGGGCAAATATTACGTGAAAGAAAGGTCCAAGGTAAGAGCTCTGAAAGGAGTAAAATACTGACAGCCATTTACAGGTTACATAGGTTGCTTTTATGGAATTCAAAGAAGTTTTATAAAGTTTTCTCTCTCCCTCTAATGCACTAGGGTAGATCTCAGGAGGCTAATGGATTTATTTGCTTTAATGTTACTGCTGGAATTAATCTTTCCATCCTAAACTGCAAGATTTGGGTACCAGGAGTCACTACAGTGATCCTTCTGTGCTTCTCTAAAGCCATGGTTCTAAAGAGTCTCTTGTAAAATAACATAGAAACTAATACGACTTACTTCCAAGGAAGTGTGCCTACAAGTTCAACAGTGTAATCCTGTCCAGAGTTAACTTCAGTCTAAGCTTGTTGATTTTTTACACTGAAGTAACTGCACAGGATTGCACTGTAAGAATCTTTCAAGGGCAGCAGCACATGCATGTGAATCAAACTAAGTTTATAACTCATCTGCATTGGGGTATGCCAGGTGGTTTTCAATGAGAATACAGCACTTGGTTTTCCAGGCACCAAAGTGCAGAAGCAAAATTAAGTGAGAAGGTATGCCAAAGTCTATTTCATAATGATGCTAACAGGTTACTTTCCACTAAGCTGCAAGTTGGTTCATTGTGCTGCTTGCACATAGAGTGCTTCTCAGGCTCCTGGGCAGCTTTGTTCATCTTTTGAGAGCTAATAAAGTTAATCCCTTACTTATGCACATATGCACTAGGAAAGACTATTGAACAGTGCTCGCTTCGGCAGCACATATACTAAAATTGGAACGAAGACTATTGAACAGCTGCATAAATAAACAAAATCTATAGCAATTAATAAACCGATTTCGTCTGAAAAGTGATAGAAGGGTGGGTCTAAGCATGAATTCCTTCTGGTGCTTGAAGCTGCTGTATTCATGGAACTACAGAAATATTTCAGGCTTGTGTCGTCTGTCAACCCCAGTCCTATGTAGATGTAATAAAAAGTAAGTCCCAGCCAGTTCAATGTGACTTATGCCCTAGTAAATGGTATCTGAAGAAGTGTGCTTGCACATGAAATCTAATACCCAGAATTTGTTGGACTTAAAAATGCCAGTGGACTCAAACTTTGCCCTAGTAAATGTATATAGGATTGCAACATATGAATATCATGTGTATATTCAACTGGAGAAAATTGGAAAATTAGATATTGGATAGCTGTTTGGAAGTTAGTACCAGGCCTGTTCCTTACTCCTGGATTGTACATGCTGCATGTCCATCCACTAATGAATGAACAAAGGATATTTAAGGTATTGTTCTTTATGCTAAAGTTCTTTTGCTATACCTATTTACCATGGTGTTAAATGGAGGTAGTCTTCACCTGTCAGACTAGCTCTTTCAGTGACTTTGAACATAATATGTATATGTATATATTTTCAGCCATATAGGCCAAGCTCTCTATAAAGTGGCAATTATAAGTATGTTTCCTAGGAATAAATCCCACTGCACTAAGAAGGACTTTCTTCTGAGGATACATGTGTAGGATCATGCAGCTCAGGAGATGGAGGATCAGTGTGCTGCAGCCTTGCAGATAAGTACAGTTTTTTCCCCAGTACACAGAAAGATATATCTTCTCTCTGTGTCAAGTAGCTTGGGTTTAGCTGCTCACCTTGAATACATTTTTAGTATCCTGGGTGAGCAGGTAGCTAGCTACGACACTGGTCAGTGGTTGTTTGTACACATACAGTTGTTATGCAGCCTAGTCCTATGCATGGTTATTCAGAAGCAAACCGTATTAAGTTCAGTGGGGCTTATTTCTGAGTAAGTGCTCACTGGATTATACTCTTGAGTTGTTTGCACCAGTGCATCCATCCATTGCAGCAGTGCATCCATTCCAACTACTTGGTTGCTGATAAGCTTTTTCAGTGTAGTTCCATTGTCACAAAACATGCTGTGTATCACAGTTTCCTTCAGATATTGGTGTCTAAATAGGTGGAGTGTGTGAACAAGGAAGGAGAACAAACAACCAGAGCTGAATTCTACATTGCCAATTTGCTCATCAGTCTCCATGTCCTTAAGTTCCTCTAACCTCTTTCAGAGCTAAGTATAGCTTTTACACTAAATTCAGCCCATTCCCTTTTCTGTGCTGTCTGTGTCATAGTCTTGTATCTGCATCACCATTTTCACAAACCTCAGCTGTCAATCTGCTTCTGCTTCTGTTTTCAACTCTGGTTTGAAGCCATATGATAATGGCAGTGCATAATGCAGATCTAGCACCCACATTTGAAAGAACGGGAATCCTATGTATGTAAAAGGCAAGCCGTGCTGGCAACAACTCACCTACTCTCCCATTGGCCACTGGGGAGGCTGCCTTGGTGTCCTATTGGCCTATTCCATTGGCTTCTCCATTCTTACACCCCCACTTTTGATGCGTTGCACCTTGGGAATTGTAGTTCTCAGCTGGCCTTACTGCAACCATAACAGAAGGAATTAGAACGGCAACTCCCAAGTTGGGAGTCCCAAGAGGCCATGGGGCATTAGCAGGGAGTCAGTTAAACTATTAATCAGTTAAAATGTTAAACAGGAAGCAGCTTTGGAATTGAAAGGGGGGGGAAGGGAAGGCCTGGACACCTCTTTGAATTACAATTGATCTCCAGACTACAGAGATCAGTCCCTACAGAGAAAATGGTTGATTTGGAGAGTGATCTCTATGGCATTATACCTCACTGAAGTCCTTCAACAAATCTGGCCCTCCCCTTAGTATTGGTGACACCTGGAGATCTCCAAGATCAGTTCTCCTGGAGAAAATGACTGCTTTGGGCAGTGGACCCGATGGCATTATATTCTGCTGAGGTCCCTCCCCAGCCCAAACCCTGCCCTCCCCAGCCTTTACCCCTAAAATCTATAGGTATTTCCCAACCCAGAGTTGGCAACCCTGTAACTGGCTACAGAACCACTTTCCATACCCTTTGAACCCGGAAAACATGGCATAGGAGGAGGTGCTTTTCTACCTTAGCTGCTACTGCATAGCCCCAAATCAACATAAGTTGGGGTGGAGGGAGCCATACCTGTTACCATGCAGCTCTCCTCCTATACTACCCACTTGGGGCGGGCAAAACGACATGAGACAGCCCTGCCTTATTGCTAAGCAGAAGGAAATAAGCAAGGCTCGCCTCCCTCTATTTTCCCCTTCCCTCCACCGCTCCACTAGCCACAGCCGGGACAATCACCTGGAGCCTCCTCCTAGAGCTCGTTGTATTTCTTCCCACAATGGGCCTTACTCCTAGTTAGTATATATTTTATATATGCATGAGAGAGTATGTTGGAAGTGTGGGGAAAAGTGTGAATGACCAATGGGCACTTCTGGTCTCTGGAGTATGGTTAGGTAGTCTTAATATCTGTACCGGGCTGACCATTGAGGCTTATTGAACAGGACTGTAAAAAACTTCAGTTATTTTAGTGGTGAGTCTACTCTCAACTACTGAACTGTTATTGCAGTTGAAGGCGTTTAGCATTTCAGTTTCTCTTATGCTGTTCGTGTTAGGTATGAATTATGTTGTGGAGACAAGAATTTAAGAGAAACTGAATGTTCATTGTAGTCAGTGTCGCTGGTGTTTGTTATCAGAGCTTTTAAGCCTCAAATTGTGAAATATGCCCTAAATTGAAAACTTATTTTAACCTTCAAACAAAATTCAGAAATAGGTTAATTCCAGGCTTTATAAATGACATCAGTGTAAAAAAACCTGCTAGAATGGTGATGACAGTTATGTTAGCATAATTTACTGCGGAAGAATCCTGATAACAAAATTTGGCTGTTTCAAAGCAACAGCATTGTTTGATACGCTTAACTTCAATTTTCTTTGTATGTTACTGAGAAAATAATGTACGACACACAGTAATCCTAAACTAGACAAAGAGCAAATCCCACCCTAGTTGAGCATTTATACGAGTCACAGAACTGACCTTTACACTAATGTCTGCTAGTGTAAGATTTATGAAAGTTATTTCTGTATAGATCTGGTTTCAGCCATCAGCAGTTACATATTGACTATAGGAACAGGAAGCTTTAAACATAGTGCTGCAAAATTAAATAGTACTATTGTTCAGAATTGCAATAAAATGAGTACAATAACTAATTGAATTCCCATTGGCAGGCTGCCGGGGTGGAATTTTAAAACCCACTTCCCTCACCAAACCCACAGTGGAATACTTTGGCCATGTCCTCCTGTCTGACTGGGGCATGTCCCCCTCACCCCGTATGCGATGCCTTTCTTCAGAAATTAAGAGTGACCACATCCATGAGGATCTCTTGGACTGGTTTAAAGCTTGCCAGTTCTGAAAGATCTTCAGTTTAGACTGGGGGGGGGGGTCAGGTTGGGGAGTGGGTGGGAGTAGTTTCCCTTATTTACTGTTTTGCAGAGTTGTGATTGTATGTCATTTGGTTTTAAATTGTATTATGAACAATCTTGGAGACCAGTAGGGTCAAAAGACAGTCTAGAAATATGCTAAATAAATAGCTTTCTTTGCATTTGCTTGCTTATTAAGGTTTACCTTGTTTACATGTTATTTCATTTGCCAGCTGGTATCACATAATTTACTGTTATTATTTCAGATTTTCACAGCCGCATACTAGCTGCTCTCTTCAATGCCATAAGAACATAAGAGAAGCCAATGTTGGATCAGGCCAATGGCCCATCCAGTCCAACACTGTCACACAGTGGCCAAAAATACCAGGTGCCATCAGGAGGTCCACCACTGGGGCCAAAACATTAGAAGCCCTCCCAACTGTCCCCCCCCCAAGCACCAAGAGTACAGTGCATCACTTGCCTCAGACTGAGAGTTCCTATCTATACCTTGTGGCTAATAGCCACTGATGGACCTCTGCTCCATATGTTTATCTAATTCCCTCTTGAAGCCTTCCATGCTTGTAGCCACCACCACGACTTCAATTGAATTTAGAAGGTTACAACTCTACTTAGGTGGCACTGCTAACTCAGAGCATGGTTTGATGGATTACGAACATGCCCTGTTGTTACAAG